CAGCCCATCCTCCTGATCTCTTTGTTCTACTTTCCCTTTCCCTCCCTTTAAAAATCCCTGCCTGCATTAAGATGCTAAGATGGGCTTTGGACAAGAGAACCCCATCTTCTCAGGTGACCAGCACTTGAATAAACCTCTTCCCTTTTTCTTACCAGCACCTGTCTCATGAGTTTGGTTTTCATGTAGGCAGGCAGCCGTGCCTTGGTTCTACTTACAAATATATTCACAATGTATTATGTAAATATTAGTTATAATGTATAAATATTTTCAAAAGTTTAAAAAGTATCAGATAATACTTTTAGAACAGTTGGACTATTCTTTTTTGAGAATAACACAAATGATAAGCATTTATTCTGTAGCAATATTTTATTTAAATGTTTTCTATTTATTTAACACTCAGCTATTTTCTAATCCTAATATCTAGAACTCCACAAATACAGGCTAATGTAAAAACAGACACAATCCCTATATTAGCTATCTTCATTTCAGAAGGAATTAATGAGGTCAGGAATGTTTTGTTTGGCATGAAGAAGAATGAAGCAAAAGCATCATGGCTGGAGACAGTGACAAAAGAACATGAAATAAGAAAAAATACACTGAGATTGCTCCTAAAACTCCTGGCTTTGAGACTCTGGGACTTGACATGTAGGCAAGAACACAAAGTTGAATTGAGTCATCATCAAACATTTAAGGTAGTTTTTCTCACTGTTGGCCTCCTTCAGTATAATCTCCAATTAGATAAAGGTTTTACTTGATGAAAAAAACCCTAGAACATGGATTTTTCTCTAAAGGTTAGGGCAGTTATTCCCCTATAACAGAGCTTAACCTGCAGCTGGAAGGTGCCTAGCACCTCCTTGCTATTTCTGTTAATTGGCTTCAGGCCTGTTCACCAAGACAAGGTAGTGAAAATGGCAGGCTCCCAATTAGTTTAACTTCCCTTAAGGTCTCTACTTTCAGGTTCTAAATTCTTCCAATCACGTAATGTAAAGCCCCTGCCTCCTCTTTTGTGGAATTTATTAGTTGCAATAAACAGTGGGGATATAAGAACAAGTCATCATATAACCTATTAACTGCCAACATTAAATTATAGTCTATACTTAATCAGGGAAATGGTAATGGTTAAAGGGAATTCAGATTTCTTAACGCACATTAAACATCAAAATTAAGCGGTTTGTTGCTTTTATTGTCTCTTTGGTCTCAGAATCAAAATTGCAGAAACATGAACACTTTTTCAAAGCAATACAACGACCACGCATTTAGTTTTCAAATCCTTTGTGCTTCCTCTGAGATCTCTCAGAAAAAGGAAGTCACAAGATTGACATAAGAAAAGGATGTTCTTTGAAAGATACGTAGTCCTCTACCTTCTGAAATGAACCTGATATAGGAATCAGCTATAGACTATTCTGAGTAAAGTGAACTACTCATTGAAAAGACTACTATTTTTGGAAAAAATGTTGAGCGTGACGTCAAGTGCTTCCTGGTACAGAGTTCTAGTAAGATACATCCCCTACCTTTGGTTATAGAGGTGTAATTTACCAATATTCTAACAGAAGGAAAGAATATTCAATGTTCCCTTAAGTAAGACCAATCCCACAAAAAGAAAAAGACACATTCAGCTTCCAGAGGTTCCTGCCAGCTCATCATTCTCAACACTCTTCTGTCCTTTTCATCCCCACTGGCAAAACTGATGTGGTTATAATTGCCTTCAAAAACAGAGATAATGAGAGACAAGCACTCTGGCAGGAAATAGAGCAAAGACAAAACCATTGGAGGCTTATAAAATCTAGAACTCTACTGACCTCTTTAGTCCAGATGGCATAAGGAAGGCAGCCATCAGTTCTACTCTAGTGATCCGAAATCTTACAGGTAGAGGGGGATGATTTTTTTTAACCATACAAAACATTCTTTTATCTATGTGATACCATTCTCTTTATTATATTTTTAATAGCAAAAACAAACTAGAAAAAAAGCCACAGAAGAGACACCAGGACATTAAAGGCAGATGACTCATAGGGAACAGTTAAAAGAATAAATCCACAACTAAATGAGAATAGCTGGAAGAGAATTCCAGTGCATGCAGCATAACCCATTACTCTTCTTCTGCCCAAACAACTGTGCTTACTTGCAGCCAAAGTTTTAATATGGGTTTGATTAGTTTTTGCTATTCTTGTCCAGTTAAATAGATTTCAGTCTAGTTAATTATCTTGCTTATGTGAACTTAGTGAATGGATCATCATTTTTTAAACTTAAGCCAAGGAAAAATATGGTTTTAGGCTCAGGAATCATAGCTAATGTCATCTATATTATACTACATAGATGAAGAAAGAACTTATTTTTTACAAAGCTTGCTTATCATGAAACCAATACTTCAAATAACTTCAACAGAAATAAATCAAGACAGTCTCTGTGGGGGAAAAATGTTCATGTGGCGTCTATATGCACTCCCTTTTGCAAATTTACAAAGAAAAACTATATTACTTCCTTAAAAAGAAATCTACCACCGTGGTAGTAGATAAAAGTTATCTTTTTAGAATATAATTAAATGTATCATATTTTTAAAACTCTGGGCTGACAATTTTTCTCCTAATCTTGCAATAAAAATGGTCATATTTACATATTTAGTTAACTGTATCTTCCTTCTAGCTTAACAGAACCCTGACTGCATTCAATGAGCAGCAGCTGCATTTCAGGGAAGGGAAATGGCCACACCCCACCCCCAGCTCCAGGAGGTCAAGCTCAATTAGTCTAAACCAAGACTGCTACTCTTACTCCCTTTGATTTACAACTGGGCAGGCAAGTAGTGCAATACCCCACATCAAAAAAAGCACTGTTCCTCTTCCTCTGTGCAAGGATATGATGATTGGGTCTTTGGCAGGAAAGGACAAGCTTGAGAGCACAGAGTCAAGGAGTTTTGTGAAGGCTTCTGGAAGAGATAGAGAATCGGGATTCCCAGTGAGGTCACTGAGCTGCAAATGAACACCTCAGCTGCTGCCTTCCTTTCCTTCAGGCTTCTTGTTAATGAGTAATGAATGTTTCCTTATTATGCAATCTAGATTTTCTGTTATCAGCAGACAATTTTAACCAGGCATGATTCTAGCTCCTTTGCAGGTATTACATCACTTGATACAGCAACTATCTGAGGCAGGTTCTATGATTATCTCCACTTGATAAATGAGTCAACTGAGGTATGGCCTAGTTTACCAACGTGCCGGAATCTCATGTCAAATCTCATATGCAGTAGATGGCTGACAATCAACAGGTCTGACTCCAGTCCAGGCTAAACTACCCAAACCTTAAAAACAATTTCTTCAAAGTGATAATGAAATAATAGCACCAATTACTTTAAAATCTGTATTTTTTGAGAAAATTCTGTTTTTCCTAAGTAGAACTTCCATGAATTTTTAATGATTCAAAATTACTTCAATCCCACAATGTTTTTGTATGCTAACATTTACTACAGGATAAAAATCAGTGCCTGTGCCTTACCACCAGCAGTATCAAAGTCAAACTGTCCTTTGTAATAGTTTCATATTAGAACATCCTACATACACAAAATATTTTAGGTTTTGTTAGGTTTGGACAAAAGTTTAATTGTTCCTGAGGGATCACCCCTCCCCCTGCATGAGAATGTGAACTTTAGGTAAGCTCATTTCACTAGCCACATTCTGTTCCTTAAGCTTTACAATTTTCACTCCCTGCATGAGAAATTATTTCAAGCAACAATCTGTTCCTTAAATTCAATAGCTTTCTACTCCTGCTCAGAAAAAAACCTCATGCATGCCACACCCTATAAAAAGACTTGCTCCCCAACCACTCCGTGCTGATGCCACTTGGAGCTCAGCCCATCTGTATTTAGATGCTTTAACCATCTGTATTCAGATGCCCTAATAAAATTGCCTTTACTTTCTCATCTGGCCTTGTGTGTTCCTCCTTAACAAGCCTAACAGTTTACGCTATAAAACATAGTCTGAGATTAATTAAGTAAAACATTTAGGATTTCTTTCCACTGATATCATTAATCTGAACTGAAAAACAGCCATTCCAGTATCTAGCCAACAAAATTATTAATAATTTTAGAAATTATTGAAACAGATAAACAACAATACATTCTCTCATTGAGTACTCACCTAGTTTTCCATCCATATAAATGTTTTAAGAAAATAACTGATGAAATAACCAATTAAGTGAATTTTTAACATCAAAACTATTTAAACTGTAAAGAAAACACTGGCATTCCCACTGTGGCTAACAATAAATAATTAAGACTTTAAAAAATTTAAAAAACACTGGAAGAATTTTATTTTTATACAACAAAACTTACCATATAAATATTTAGTCTTCATATGAAGAGCAGGCCTCTCTACTAGTGATATAACAACTTTGTAAACAATCCTTCCGGAGACAGGGAGTGGGTATTAATACTGGTAAACAATTCCAATTTCATGAATTACAAGTGGCTACCATGCAGAGTGAGCTAAACAATTCTAAAAACTTATAAACCTAAAATAGGTCCTTGACATATGAAAGGATAAGTCCCCAAACCTGACAAATAATCTAAATTCTGAAACAACACTGTAGCACATATTTCTCTCATAAAGTGAAATCGGGTATAACGAAATTTTAATTTGCCTCTTCAGATCCTTTGACTTACTGCCTATAAGTGAAGAGAAGAATCCATGAGTGGTCTTGAAAGCCTACTCATAAATTGCTTTATTCACTGCCAAATATCTGCGGCTTGGCCACCGTAACAAATCCTGAAGTTGTGATGTTTCAAAATCTACAGCAAATGTTGATAACTGTTTATGAGAAATCTGTGCTCAGGTACCAAAACAGAAATATTTTACATTAATGTTAGACAAACTTGGACACAGAGCCTGGTACTTAACTAAAGTTTGTTAGAATAATTTACATTTAATCATCATTGTAATGGAGGAAAACATATTTTGGCATATGAGTTAGGAAATTATACCAAAAATGTTTGTAAAAGGATGTTAAGTTACCTGTTCTTGCTTCTCCAGCCATTTGTCCACCATGGGGTGACTAGCACTCAGGGATGACCGAGCATTGTCTCTCTGAAATTGGTTAGACCAGTTACTAGTATCCCGGGGGAGGCTTCTGTAGTTTTCATCTTTCTATTCAAAAAGAAACAAAAAGGTGTGTTGTAAAAAAACCAGACCCTGCAAATTAATGAGGTACCTGTTCTGTCAAAAGCAGCAGAAAAATGATTTCACGTATTTAAAATATTTTTACAAGCCTACACAAAATAGCTCATTGAGGACATTTCATCTAGATTAGGCCTGAGAGACGGAGTCATATACTTAGGATAAGGGAGAATAATGACTACAGCAAGGAAGGGAGGGGTGTGTGTGTGTGTGTGTGTTGTGTGTGTGTGAGATACTCTGCATTTTCTCACAAATCAACCTCCCTAAGCCAAGTATATATGCACCAAAAAACAAAAAAATATTTCCATACAAAACTTTTACTGTTTTTTTCTCTTATTCTTTCCAATCTTATAATAATATTTTGAGGTATTTTCTATAATTTACCAAAAATGTTTAAATTATAGAAGACTAATGAATTTGGCTCCCTGTTTAGATCTTTGTAGTTTTATGACTTTGGGCAAGAGAAATACCCTCTGGGCTGTTCTGTTACCTACTTCACAAGCTATTTGTAAGCATTAATTCAAATATCAAGAAAAAAATTAGTCTATCCCAATATATGGTACATAATAGACACATAACTATTCACCCCAACATGCTTATTGTTACAGTATATTATGAAGCTAGAAAAATTCCAGGACAAGCAGAATAGGGAAACTGGGACAGACTGTTAAACAGCAGTTTGCAGCCACCCAGTAAATCCTACCTTCCCTAAACCATGGACATACTTAAGGGTAAATGGTTTGGATTTCTCCTCTCTAGCCAGAGGGTATGTAGCTTAAATCACCCTAACTCAGGGAGTCAGATAACAGAAATCCAATTAGTGCCATTTGCCAACCACACTCAAGGACGAATGAAGTTAAGAGAATAAACTTCATTTTGATATATCAGCATAAGGCTAATGAATATTCTATTGATCCTCCCTTAAACGCCCAGCTTTTAAAAACCCCCAAAAATGAACATCCCAGCGCTCATTCCCCGCCCCTGCCAGGGCTTGCCCCCTGAACCTGTCTCCAAGGTCCTGGAACCTGTCCCCTTCTCTCTCTCTGACTTCCCAGTGAGACAAAGCAGCCCAGCATAGGCTCTCCTGTTGCATCTTCCATATCCTCCCTTCTTTCACCATCCTAAATATATTTTTGCTGTGGCCAATAAATTCTTGCTTTCTTTTCTACACTTTGTCTCTTGATGGAAATCTTTCCTTCAAGAAGACAAGAACCGAGGTTTCCTCAACATCTCCTCGGTAACACTTATGACAGTGATATCTTTAAGCTGTTAGAGACAAAAGTTGTTTCCACTGCTAGAGTGATAACTTGAGACTCTTTAATAATCTTCTGTCACAATCCACAATTGTCAGTTTCAACTTGACTTGTAGATGATATTCATCCCCTGTATCCAGTAACCCTGACAAAATGTGACACAACCTGAAAAACTGATTGTATAAGTAAATAGTACTAAAAAATTGATTTCCTTTAAAAAAATAAAAATAAAAAAATAACTAGTTAGTTACTAAGTACAGTGTAACCTCAATTCTCGAACTTAATTCATTACGGAAGGCTGTTGGAGAAGCGATTTGTTAAAAATCAAATCATTTTTCCCATTAGAAATAATGTAAATTGAATTAATCCATTCCAGACCTCCAAATGATTCCCAGTTTTAACCTTTCTTATTATATACAGTACATGTCTAATGTACTCTTTAATCTATAAACAAACCTTTTCTTAAATTTACTGAACCCCCTACTAGCCTTAATGAATCACTTTCAGCACTCATTGACTTTTTCACATCACTGCCCCTGAAATGCTGTCACTGGATAACTGCTTTTGTTTACCCAAATCAACAACAGTTTTTCTAGCTCTTCAATTGCTTGTGATCATTGTTTCATGAGTCCTTTTACAGCCTTAGCAACATCAGCACACTTGATGGCCTCTTTATGTTTTAAAATTGTACTAAACATCCACTTCACTGGCAACAAAAGCAAAAAAATAAACAGTAAAATATTCACAGCAAAATTTCCTGAGGTGTTAACAACGCCAGGTTAAGTGACTCCCATTCATTCCTTTGTTTGTGGCCTGAGAGACACTTTTTGTCACGCTGATCAGATAAAATGTCCCAGAGCAACCATACAATAGAATGTTTCTTTTAAATAACAGCTTAAACAACTTGCTTTGGCTATCAGACTGTAAAACTTAATTTCAATGCTCTGAAAAGAAATGAGAAGGCTACAATAAGGTAGGAAACTCAAACATTTTAGTCCAATAACTAAATCTAAGTATCTCCTACAAGAACAAATTAGAACTGTAAACCTGACTTCAACCCACTTACATCAAAGCCCCACTTCAAGAGAAGCACCAAAATGCTCAGCTTAATAACTTTGTTAAGGATGGGCTGTCTTACATCTATACATGACTGATTCTTATTCTGCATTACCTTAACTACGAGCAGTGAATATAAACACAGTAAACTGTAATATAATAGGTTTGCATTGTATAGACCTTAGCAATAGTTTAGAATACTGTTTTTTCCTTCCTGAGTCCCATCAGAGAATAAAACTTAACAATAAATTTAGAGTCTTGGATCTATGCCAATACTGTGACATGAAAATTTATACATATTTACCAATATGAAATTTAGCATGAAACTTTGTTTTTTTAATTAACCCACAGAAAATAGACTTTTAAAACTCAATCGTAGCATTAAACATTAGGAGCAAATACTTTTTACTAGAAAAACTTGGTAAATTTCTGGTCAGAGCAGCTCAAGAAAGCTGTGACAGAGCATAACCCTGAGTGCAGAAGAATGCTGATAAGATCTGGATGCTGGTCCAGGCCCAAATTTGGGGACTGAGCTTGCCTAAAGGAACACAGAAATGATAAACAGAGGACAGAGACAAAGTCCAAAAAAAGAGTGAAGCAAATAAAAAAACCTAAAGCTTACATATCCCCAAATACTGAGACCCTCCTTAAAATTTGAGCATGATAACTTCAGAACAAAGCAAAACTGTTTCATATAATAGTCCATAAATTTACCGAGAAATTCAAATAAGTCATAAAGCGAACATAAACTTACTAATGACAGAATCTTAAATGTCCACAAGACAAAAGGGGTTGGAAGTATGAAGAAACACAGGGAGAACTATTATGTCAAGGACCTTGGGGCTAACTACCATTGGCGAGGAACCTGGCTATTCTATTCATTTTCCTCCTCTAAGGTGATTATTACACTAACTCTTTACTTTGAAAATGAATAATTAAAGAAAAAGTATTAAAAATATATTCTGACTTTCAACAGACGCTGAAAGGTTAAAGGTTGGTGGTGCACAGGCAGGCTAAATGGCCATCTCAGGTGGTGAATAAAGAAAAATTGAATTTATTTAAGTAAAGGGGATGTGGGATATCTAAAGGGAAGGGTGATATAGCACTGAGTCAATGGACATGGGGTCCATGATAGGAGCAGAAGTATACTAGGGACAGTGAAACAAGGAAGAGCATAGAAGAAGCAACAGGAGAGCCTAGGCTGGGCTGCTTTGGCTCACTGGGAAGTCAGAGAGAAAGAAGGGGGCCTTGGAGACAGGTTCAGGGTATAAGCCCAGGATGAGCTGCCACTACCCCTTGCTCCCCTGGTTGCAAGTCACGTGGGGTCCCCTTGGAGGAAAGAACAGGGAAGAAGATGGTGATGGCTGATTCCGTGATGGGGAGTTAGCACTGCGTCCTTTGTCCTGAGTTATCTATCTCTTCCTTGCAAGTGGAAATCTTAGGGGAGGGTATTAATAGAATATTCATCAGCTTCCCAGGTGTGCTCTTTCAGGGATTGGTCAGTGCCATGACAGGAGGTCATGAGTCAATGTATATCTGGTCCTGAGGCAGCCACTGCACCACTTATCTGGTTTTGCTGCTTTTCTGGGCCTGGAGCTGAAGTACAACTGAGGCCTAGATGTTATCTTTAGGGAGGAAAGGCTCAGTGGGTCTAAATCACATGACCAGAGACATATTAGGGGAGACAGGTAACCCTGGGACCAAGGTTCTTGTTTTCCCAGTTTTGCCCCTTGCTAGGAGTCTTGCTGCCCTGGTCAGTCTCTGCACCCAGATGTCTGTACCTGGGTTTCTGTACCTGGCCCATCTAACAGAAACTGTTTTAGAGAAGCCAACAGTGTCAGTAAATGAGGGAAAAGCTTGTCTTTACAGAAAAAATGCCAAGTAGTGAAAGTAGAATTAATAAAATTACAAAAATCACCATTTTCAATTCCTAATGAAATGATTCATTCAGTCAAAGATAATCAATGGATGCTAAAACTGTTAGGTAAAAAGTTAATACTGACCTGGTTGGTTGCACAGTGATAAAGGGAAAAAGAGGAAAATATCTTTAAACTGAAGAGACCAGATGCCACAAATGTCTCCCTATTCTGGGTGTTGAGAATCCAGTATGCTACTGGCACTTCCACTTGATTCCTTTTGAATCTCTGCCATTATTCCTCTTCCCTTCAATGGTTCTTATACCCCCTTTCTATAAATTGCTTATTACTGCCTCCCAAGACAAGCTCAAAAAGTGTACAATTTCAAAGTCTCCTCCCTGACAACTTCCAGGCACAGGTTTCTGAATTCATGATCTAAATTTCCAACAGGATGCCCCAAGGATACCTCAAAATCAACAGATTCAAAATGGAACTCCACCTATCAATGAAAAATATTATGCCCAGCTAGTGTGTGGCTCAGCAGCTGAGCACTGACCTATGATCCAGGAGATTGAGGTTTGATTCCTGGTCAGGGCACATGCCTGGGTTGCGGGCTCGATCCCCAGTAGGGGGCGTGCAGGAGGCAGCCAAGCAATGGCTCTCTCATCATTGATGTTTCTATCTCTCTCTCTCCCTCTCTCTTCCTTTCTCTGAAATCAATAAAGACATATTTAAATATATATATTCATAATCCTCTTCAACAATTTCCTTCCTCTCTAATCCCAATAGTTGGTAGGTCTTAGTA